GAATGCAGGACACGTTGGTGGCTTTGGTAGTAGGAATGAGTTTTCTGTACAACTGCTAGCTTCTCTGGCTCGCTAATCTTGGAATTTGATTGTCATATCTAAAGGAATGCACTTATCTTTCAAGCCCTGGTCTGCTAAGACTCTTTAGAGGCTTCTCTTAGAGTCTTTTGTTGTTGTTTTTGCTATTATTAGTGAAGCTTCCTCAGAACACTGAGGCAGGCCCTTCTCTCTTACATACCGCTCCCATTCTGCACTGTACTGGTTACAGTGGACATGTCTTCTCTCCCCTACTAGGAGGTAAGAGCCTATAAGCGGAACCTTGTTAAAGACAGACAAAGTTGGATCTTTCCCTCTGGTAGCCGATCAACTGGCAGAAGCAACTGGACAAGTGAGCCAAGGATGGGTTGTAGAGGTACGAGATACCATGCAACATGAGTTTATTCATGTATTCAGAGAGCATATGCAGATGCCAGCTCTGTGTCTACCATGGCAGGCATTGAGTTTGATTCTCGGAGAAGGGTCAATGCACACAGAGCCCAGAGCCAGTCTGCCCAGGTCTGGATCCCAGCATGGCATTTACTGTGACCTTGGGTGGTTGTTTAACCTCTCTGAGTCTCGGTTTCCTCATTTCCTCAAATGAGAATAACATAGTATCTTTTTCACACAGTCGTGATGAGGATCCAAAGAGTTAAGGCAGGTGCTCGTTTTGGCAGCACATATACTAAAATTGGAATGATACAGGGAAGATTAGCATGGCCCCTGCACAAGGACGACAGGCAAATTCGTGAAGTGCTCCATATTTCCATCATTAGTGGGACACAGAAATGGTTTATTACCTGTTGAAGATAAGATGTATAGTATTCTTAACTGGACAGGTCTGAGAAGTATTTCATGTTGAGTGAATTCTCTTTACAAGTCAAATTATGTATAGTGACTGAATGTTTAAAAAATGGGAATAAATAATAATAATATAAGAAAATGATGAAAAGCTATTTGATGATGATCATCATCAAGTGGATGGTAATGTCTTTGTCTTGACTGATATGCGTGGTAGTCATGCTGGAAGAAGAAATGTAATACTGTAAAGATACATGTGATTAAATGTCATATAAAAATTATGATAATAAATAAAATTAAATTAACAATAAAAAAAAAAGAGTTAATGTAGGTGACAGGCTCAGGTGGTGCCTGGCATGGAGTCCGTGCTCAGTAGGGTGACTGCTGTCCTTGTGGTTCTGCTGTCACCTGGACTGAGAGTGCATCGGAAGCGAGGCTGGACAACCTCATCTGCACCAGTATGGTTCCCAAGCCAATGCCTGCATTACCACGACCAACACCTCCTGGAGCATATCAGCTGCTAATCCAGGAGAAAATGAATTTCCGGACCCTTCCAGTCCCTACACAAAGGCCCCCAGATACTTGGGTGCAATATTCAAGGCTGGATCAGGATTGCACAGATCCAAGTCTGGGACACTCCATCTTGACTGAAGACATGGACAACACCCAGTTACCCCAAGGAGACTTCAACACTGGTACTCCTCCTTCCCCATATCCGAACTTCTGCAGGCTGAGCACATCTTCCTCTTCCTCAGCTCTAGTCCAGTTATTGTATTCCCACTGAAGCCCACGCATCAACTTTCTGATGGTTTTAGTCTCTGAACTGCAAAGTATTTCCCTGCTAAATCCATGAGCCTTATAAAACCAGGCCTTATTATATCATTTCTCTGCTTAACTGTGTCTGGTGAATAAGCACAGATGAAAATGAAATTGATGTAGGATGTTCTCACCATCACAACTATGACCAAACTCAAAGTCCGGTGATACCAAGTATGTTTCAAGAGCCCGAGAGAGGAGACTCTCACACACCACCGGTGAGAGTGTCAGTTGGTACGTCATATTGGAGGCTCTCCAGGCTGGGTGGACTGGCATGTACAATGCATATACACCTTTGTACAATAGCTACAAGGCTCTAAGTCTATTCACTGGATGTTCCCTGGAGAAGGGAGAAGCCATGCTAAGTACTCTCATTAAGCTCAAAAATAACCTTAACACCCACCAATAGAAAAATGACTACACTGTGGTACATCCATATTCTGAAAGACTATGCAGCACTAAGCCTGGACTGTGAATAGATACAATGACATTGTGTTACATCACAAAATTTTATAGGCGGAATTAGGTTTTTCCCCAAATTCATGCATTGAAGTTTTAACCCCCAAGGAGCTCAGAATGTATCTGTATTTGGAGAAAGGGTCTTTAAAGGGTAATTAAGGTAGGATGTGATCATAAGGGTGGGCCCTAATCCAATATAATGGTGTCTTTTTTTGGCCATTTTTCTAATTTTGCTATAGGGTATGTACTCTCATTAAAGGGGGGGGGAGAGAGAGAGAGAAGACAGAGAGAGAGAAAAAATCACCCCCTAGGAGAGATGGGCATGGCACAATCCCTTTTGCTCCATTCTCCTCTAAGAATTTTGGGCATACACACACACACACACACACACATCTGACAGGTGTTTTACGCTGCCAGATCTGGGACTTGAACCATTCAATTGGCCATGTGGATCCAGCGCCCCAACCACCACATCACCTGCAGGGCCCCCTGTCTCCCCTTTATAACCCTGGTTGCTAATCTTCCCCCTTCAGAGCTCAGCCCAAATATCACCGCCTCTATAAATATAATGCAGAAAGTCTTCCTGAAACATTTTTCCAGAGGCACACCTCTCTTTCAATGTCTTACTCCCATGCGTTCCCCTGGTCCCTAATCAATGCTCCAGCCTAGTAACTACTCACTAAATAGTTCTGAATGAATGAATGAATGAAAGGCACATATTCTAGCAGGCTGCTTTTTCATCTAGTGTATCTCACGCATGTGCTGTTTCATTGTGTGTAAGCACAGACTCCCTTGAGACCAGGGCTATAATCATGACATGAGCGAGGTCCTAGCCTTTGACTGTTCCTGTACTAAATACTAAGGGGGCAACTCTATTTCTGGGCCATCCAAGTCCCATTTGCTTTCAATTCTAGTGAAATCAGCTGAGAATGTATTGCAATTTATTTTATTCACATTCCATGCCTAGAAAGGTCCTCAATTACTTAACTCACAATAGGCCCAAATCAAAACTCCCATTGATCTCTGACTGGGAATGTCTGATAAGCCGGCCTTACCTTTTCATCGGCTTGGGTGAGCACTCTCTCTCCAGGTTGGAGGACGTGTGTTTCACGTGCATGGCATTATAGGAAGTGTGAGTATAGTCATTTTCATCACTGTAGTCAGGACCGAGTAATGTCCGGGCCCATGTTCCCATGTCATAAGGAGGAAGGGTCCCTCCAAATTCAGAGGGCAAAAATTCAGGATGGATTAGCTGGTGAAGGCTGTTTAAATTATTCCCATGCAGGAAAATCTGAAAAGAAAAAAAAAATAATAATTAGCAATAAGAAATCCGCAACATATGACCAAGTATTTAATCTAATACACAATTTAGCAATGACAAATTGGATGCACCGCTGGTGATCATAGTGTTTAAAGAGGCATTCACTTTTGTATCTGCAGCTTAGTCTTCATAAAATGTTAATTTATTGCTCAGAAGAGGGGCTGAGTTAATAGTCATTAAAAATGAAGCTTATAAACAGATTGGGTAGTATTTGGACATGGCCCAAACTTACACATATGGTCACCTCCTAATTATCCCTGCTGATGAAAGGGGCAGTGATGCAGACCCTCCAACCCAAAGAGGCCTCTCACGGATCCCCAGACTGCTCCATACTCCCTTCCAAACATTCTCTGTCTCCACTGCTCTCAGTTCTCTCCTTCCTTCTCAGGCCTAGACCAAGTTGCAGCCTCTCCTAAATCTGCCCCAGCAAGACCAACCCATTCTGGTTCTCCCGGCCTGCTCTCCAATTCATGCCTTAGTATCTGTTGACTTCTAGTTTCCTCTGATGTGGTAATTTATGTCCTGCTTTCTCAAAGG